GCCAAGTGACCAGCAAGCCGATGGGGTTTGTTCCCAATTGTACTCGAGACTCATCAGTTGTACTCGAGACTCATCAGTTGTACTCGAAAGATTAGCACTCTCCATCTGGAGTTCAAGTGTGTGTGTGTGGGGTCTATGGTTTATTATGGTCTATGGTCAGCGGTATGTGGTGTGCGTGTGTAGGGTTTGTGTTGGTGCCGTTGAAATGAGCTTCCTTGTCGTGGGATTGTGCTTTTCAGCCTAGCAGTTTCTGGAATCCTCTTTGACTGTCTCTTTTGAGGGTACCGTTTAGAGTTTGTTTCAAAGGGTCAACATGCAACAGTCACCATGCCCCGTCATCTTCTGTATAGGCAGGGAAATCGCATAGGGTACACCCCCAATCGCCACTGTAAAAGATTGAGGCTCACCAAACTCCAATGTCAATGGGATCCAAAATGCTGTGGACAACACCTGCGCTGGTTGCTGGCTTCCATTAGTATTCAGAAGGGTTTATCCATCCCAAGGGGTTCATTTGTCAATCCACAGCATTGACTCTGACTGAGCCCTGTTTCATCTGAGGACGGCTGGACCACGGCCGCACTCGGCCAAGCTTCCCGAGGCTTTTTTGCGCCGCTGTGTTCACCTTTCCAGGGCTCCTTAACAGCACAAGGCTCCTTGCGAGCCTCCTTATAAACATCATTTTAAGTTACTTTACAAGCATCCTTGCAAGGCTCCTTAGAAGCCTCCTTGTTACAAAGCTCCTTGCAAGCCCGCTTGTCACCAAGTTGAAGCGCATGTTTTACTCCCAGCCCAGCTGCAGGGGACTGCAGGGGTGTCACACACACACACACACACATTTGCAGCTGGAAACTGCGAGTCCCCAAAATATCGGTTTTGTACCTGCAAACAGGCTCCACTGCTTGCCTGCCAGCAGCACGATCGTGCCCACAACATATACACATATGTCAAAGTCATTTCCAGCTGAGAACTGCGGACCTGCAGCAAATGACTCCCATGGCTGTCAAATGCCCAACCTGACACCACCTTCGCACGAACATCTGGCAAGCACTGTTGGGCGCGTTAAAATAAGGGGACCAAACAACTGGTTGGCTTGTGTGCTTTCCTTTTGGCTCTCCTCTGAACCAAGGAACAAATGGTGCCTACAAAAACACGCACGGCCAGTTCACAACCTAATCCAAAGCGGCTGCTGCTGGCGCACCAAATGGTCATCCTCCTCCAAAGCCATCCCTTGATGTTGCGAAGAGATCATGGCATTCTAGCAGCGTATATATTTTCCAAGTTGCTCAAAAAGAGAGGATCGACAACGGTGGCAGGCAACGAGCAACTTTCTAAATGAAGACCCTCAGCCAGTTTACGAGGACAACCGGCCTGTATGTGTGTAGGGGTTTTGCGCGCTGCAAACCATTGCTCAAGCCCAGGCATGGGACCCCGAACAAACAACTTCGCTAATAACGTATTAGGCCTGCATACGTCCGCAAGATGCCGTTAATATCCTGGAAAAGACGGGCCTGCGTGTGAGCCCTCAAAAATGCCTAGAGCGATCTTTGAACAACCTCAGCCCCGTCCCGTAGCCATTTTGGCTCAAGAGAGCCGGTGTTCAGGACATCATGTCCCGTACTCTCCCAATGAAAGCGCATGAAGGCGGTTCGATCCCGCCTTTGTACGCATGAGGTAGCCTCAGGGCCCCTCAGTATTCTCAAAGGTGACAATCACCATTTTCTTTCAGCCGATTCCCGGCTGGATTCACTCGAGGACGACTTATACAATTTCTCCATCGAGATTGATGAGTCTGCAATTCTGCATGACATGGTGGTCGAGGACTCGTTCAACAGGAATTATCCTGAAGAAGAAGGAGACATGACTGTCTCCTTACCAACTTGGGATGATTTTGGACAGTATCTCCCAAAGCGATACGTGGCCGCGGTGAAAGGCGACGATTTTGGGTTCATTTCGAACCTTGATCGTAAGTGCGGGCGAGTTCTCGCTTGCATTGGTGACACACTGGGCCCAGAGCTCAGCTTGAAGGACACGAACGATTCAAATTGTTTCGTGAATTATGCTGAGCGATATGAATTTTTCGCTCCAACTGCCAAGTCGACCTACATTGCAACCTCGGCGGCTAAAGGCAAATTCATGCCATACGCAGCAGACATTCCACAATTGCGGAATGCATCTCCGGTGAGGAAGCAAAGCCTCCTGGAACTGGATCTTCCATCCAAATACGGTTCAGCTTCAGTTGCAGCTGAATGGGTTCATAAAGAGTGGCCAACATGGTCACTTCACCAACATTTGCTCATATGGGCAACTACCACTCTCGACTTGAATGGTACAAGTATGTTCCCGTTCCTTTTTGGAGCTGACGGCGGTGTGGGTGGACTTCCACCTTTCGGAAACCTGATGACAGGATTTTGTTATGCAGCGACTTTTGATCGAGGCAGAGCTTTTCCCGCAATCATGGGAATTATGTCAGAGGTCGTTCAATTGACCCTTGGGCTTTCTCAAAGAGAACAGTTATTTTGGTTGACTGCAGCACGGTCAGCCATTATTGGAGGCTCCACATGGGAGACTTTTGCTGCTTCTCATCTCGAAGCCATGGCACAAGGGATGTCAACCCTTGACATTAGCGACTTGATCAGGAAACATCAAGGTGTAGAGTTGCCAGCTGAACTGCTGGATACAGCTATCGTCTTTTACCCCGACGATTATTCTATGGCATCAGCACTCCAATGGCTGAGGAAAGAAAGGTTAATCGAGACTGAGATTGAGGCTCGATTACGCCTTGCTGGTCAGGAGAAGGTAAATACCATCTTGTCCAAAGACAAGACGGTTCGTGAGGGGATCGATGAAGCTGATCTCAAAACAGCCCAATTCAAAAAGAGGGGCTTGAAAATCATCATGGAGCTCTTCCGAGCACTTCCAGCTACACTTGATTACGTGCAGCAAGCATCTCAGAACCGACATCAGTGGTTCCAGCAAGTTTCTGATCTCATGATCAAGTTCTTGCACTCTATTTCAATGGAGGCAGTCAGGATTTCCTCAGAGCCCAGGTCTTTGAGGTGAAGGAGAACTACACAACAGTTCCTGCAGAGTTCATGGCTGATGCCACGGACAGGCGAAAACTCCAACGTCAAGAAATTTGGCGATGGTTTGAGAAGGCCCGGAGTCGGGAGTACTTCGTTCATCATCTCATTCCACCTGGAGTGGGAACAGCAGATGGCCTTATAATGGCCAGAATGATCACCCAGATTACTCTGGCAACCATTGCAGTCATTTTTATCATCGTGACTGACGATACAAAGCTTTTGTGGGCTTTAGCTGCGCGTGCTTTCTCCATGAACACGACGAAACGACCAGTCAAGCTGCTCGGCTTGTCTGCAAGCTCACTTCTGTATCTTCAGAAGAAATCTGGGACAAAAAACAAGTCTGATCCCGGAATTGGACCGATGGTACGATTCCCTCGGCTTGGAGGAGGATTCTTTGATCCTGGCATACAGTTCCAATGGGAGCTGAAGAAATTCCTTCACTCTGGTACAGATGGAAGGTTATTAGAACAACAATTTTGTGTTCATATCGATAAACCGAACATTGAAAAGCAAGTTCGGTGTTGCCAATGCATTTGGTGTCTTCCTTTTTGCCCGTAATTTATTTCAACATGCACTTCCGCGTGCTGGCGAAATCACTTTCTGTTCTCGGTTTGTGTCGTTTGTGGCGGTTCTTGGCTGTCTTTGGTTCGGCTGTGTCTGTTTGTTTTTTGGCTCCTGTGTGGCCTGTTGTGTTTTCGCCGGCTTTTTCAAGTGTCGTCTCACCATATGTTTCACCTCTCCTTCTTTGTGTATTTTAGCAGGTTTTTCGCGACCGATGGCAATTGCCTCAAGGCGTGCTGGTGACAAAAAAAGAACAACCTCAGCCCCGTAACTGACTGTTGAACACAAACAGGTGCTGTGCCCTTTGAACTTTGGATTCAATTGAACGAATTTAGGGGTGGGGGGGGTGGGGTTGTCTGACCCCCCAAAGTTGAGAGCTCATCAACTCGGCCAATAAAATCAGAGCTCTTGTTGTTGTTGTTGTTGGTTTTTGGGGGGGACGGCTGCAAGAGTCCAGCTAAGAGGAAACACCGTCGCCAGTTGCAAGGTTGGTGATTTCTGCCAATGCACTGCCAGGTCGGATCTGGACATGTTCGGTCAGTGTGGCAAAGGGTGATGGTATTTGGTAAGTACACGTGTGTTGGGAGCATGTGCCATCGCAACCGTGATTGTCTCTGCAAGCGGTCTGCAACAACCGCCTCTGAAACTCACGACATGAATATTTGCTTGGTGCATCATGCCTGTGGCACACATGTTTTTATCTCAGCCCGCAAATCAAGGTGCCCCCACAGAACAGGAATCAACTTGAACTGGCGTCAACTTTCCAAGAGGTTGCAAAATCGGTGCCAAACAGTTTCCAACAGCGCCGATGGGCCAACTTCAGGGCGAGACCGAGCGGGACGGCTGGCTACAACAAGTCGCTGGGCGCGACCGCGGACCCACACGGCCAGCCAAGGCAGGTCAGAGGGAAAGTGGACGGGAGAGACCTTTCACATCCAACCCTAGACAAGGTATATCATTCAAGACACCCCCATTGAAAATGGAATGGCGAGGCTGCTCGCTTGCTCGTAGCTTGTTCATGTTGCGTCGGTGGGGTGAGCGCGACTCACTGGATGCCGACAATGATGATGGTCGTGGTGATGGTGGTGGTGGTGATGGTGGTGGTGTCGCTGATGATGATGATGATGATGATGGTGGTGGTGGTGGTGATGATGATGATGATCATGATGATGATGATCATGATCATGATCATGACGATGATGATGCCGTGCATAGACCATCACGGACCCAGGAATGAGCAGGCTGCCTGGCATGTGAGTTCCGACTTACCTGACGCTCAGCATCGCATTTGCATTGCTCAAGTCAAGGATGGATAAAGGACTGGAAGACCAGCCAGCCATCCCAAGCAGCCCAGCGATGGAAGTTCGCCCTGTGGAGGTCGCAGAGTTTCGCCTGACAGAGGAGCTCATCCGAGAGGCCTTCTGGAATCATTTCGAGCCGGGTGCCGACGAGCACTTCATCGCCCACAGCCTGCGGAAGAGCGAGGACTACGTGCCTGAGCTGGACCTCGTGGCCGTGTCGGATGGAAAGCTGGTGGGCAGCATCGTGCATTCCAAATCGAAGATTGAGACCACAGATGGCCGCAGCTTGAGACTTGACTGCTACTGGGTTGGATCTTGAGACTAACTTTTTGGGGAAATGAAGGGGTTTCCACTAAACCCCAAAAGTTAAACTTGTTGCAGGGGGTCAACAGCAACCAAGGAGAGATGTGGTATCCTTTGGTCCCTTGGGCGTTTTGCCAGAGTATCGCAACCGCGGCATTGCTGCCAAGTTGGTGCGGGAATCCTTGCGCCTTGCGAAGGACATGGGTTTCCGGGCGGTGATCATCATGGGCGATCCACGGCTTTACGGGCGCCTGGGCTTCCGCTGTGGAGAGAAATATGACTTGACCAATGCGGAGGGCCAATTCCATGTGGGATTGATGGCATATCCGCTTTACGAAGGAGCCCTAGACGGAGCCGCAGGAGCTTTCTCTGAATCTGAAGCTTTTGGAGTTTCGGCAGATGCCTTGGCGGAGTTTGATGCATCCTTTCCAGCCAGGGAGAAAGGCGAATCCGCCTTCCAAAGCGAGTTTGCAGTGCTTGTGTCGCTCAGCTACGCGAAGGATCCCAAGTACACCAGCTAAGGGTTGTTTGCAGCTATGTGTTTTTCACTTGGCTTTTCTCACCAACCATGCAATTATTCAGCCATGTTGTGCTAGGCTGCAGGCCGCTACACTTGCTCTTTGGGCACGGTGTTGTACAGAGTCGCCAGTTTGACCAGTCTGACCCAGATAAAGCACAAGACAAGGACTGAAAAAGGACAGGGAGAAGGACTGGTTAAGCACGGGCATATGAACATCTTGAAATGATTGCTTGCTCCACCGCACTAGCCTCAGGGTGTAGTTTGCATGCACACTTCAACATCGCATGAGAGCACAAGTAAAGGCAACGCGCAAGGCAACACTAGGCAGGCATGTGATTTGCCAGGTAGCTGCACTTATGAGGTTTCTTTCTGCCTGACAAGTGCACTCAACCAAGCGTGCAATGCATACAGCGAAACCTATTCTTGCGCGTATGCACGACTGTCAAAATGATATATGACATGCCCGTCGGATCATGATTGCTCAGACCCCAAGCTTGTCAAATTCATTTGCAACAAAGTCACTTTGGCCAAATCCTGCGGGTGTTTTTTCAGCATTTTCTAGATTGAGAGCTTTGTCGTGCTGTGTTAATCGGCGAATGTTGGTTTGAACCTGAACACGGCGTAAGCGGCAGCTAACACGGGGTGCGTCGTGAGCTCATGTTCATCGCTTCCAGGCGTATGTGACGTCGTCGGCTCGGAAGCGCCGGGACCTCGTGCAGGGCATGGTCTTGAACTTCTTGCTCCATTGTCAGATCGCTTTGCACTATTGGGGCGACTGCAGCGGATTGGGTTCTGTCGGCGCGCAATGGACCCAAAGGCGAACTTTCATAAGTCCAATTTGGTTGTGGCGCGGGCTCTTTCGTCCAGCTCGATGTTGCCACAGCCAAGAGCTTGTTTGTGGTTCGTGACAGACTGGCTTGAGTGGTTCAGGGTGTCACTTTGTCAGCCTCTCGCTTTCTGTTCATGTGGGAGCCATAATGTTGTTCATGAACAGGGCGCGCACTTGCGCCCTTGCTCAAGTGGCAAAACTGGCAGGGGGCTGCTGAAGCTGGTTTCTTCCATGTGAGCTGGCAAACCCTGCCATGAGGTACCATCGAGCGTGTGGCACAGATCCATCAGATGCAGCTGGGCCGGTCCACAGGACAGTCGAGCGAACGCGTGCGTGCAGTATTTTGGTCTCTTCGAGTGTGTGTGTGTGTGTGTGATTGTATGTGTGTGTGTGTGTGGGTGTTTGTGTGAGTGTGTGCCTGTGGGCGCCTTTCTTTGTGTGTGTGTGGGTGTTTTTTGCCTTTTCTGGTGAGGTGGTTGGAACGTAGCGGTGGGCTGCACCCGCCCATTGTGGCCAGAACAGAAGGTCCCAGGGGCAGCGTCGGCGTTCATTGCTTAGTGACATCATGCTGCCTGATCTCCAAGCATACTTATCATTTTTGTCGGCTTGAGTTCAGGCAGAAAAGGGCATTGCAGAACTAGTTTGCCTGGCCTGGATCAAGGACAATGTTCGATCATATGAATTTCGAACGGAGACAGCACACTGGGTGAGAACAGAATAGACATCGCGACTATCACAGGTTAAAGTCTTGCTCACTACTTTTGGCATGATAATCCTTTGGTTGGTTTGGCTGGACGGCATGAGCTCAACCGACCTCATCCGTGGAAAGACTTTGTCTTTGCTAATTGTCAAAAGATTTCGACCGCTCCTTAACCCCCCGCCTCCGCGTCCCAAGGAAACATCCCATGAAGCGCTTTGAAGGCATTTTCAGGCTGCGTGTAAGAGTAATCTAGGTGAGGATCAGGGCGATAGCGCACGTGAAGGGGGGTCGTCGTTCCAATGGCATGTGCCCAAGGAGCCGCCTATCAAAAGTGGAAGATCGTGTTGTTGGACCCGTTAATTTTATTGTTTTTCTATTTTTTTGGGCTTTTCCTGCCCATATGGCCCTTTTCAGCAGCATAGTGTGATGTCATGCGGGCGGCAAGCCGGAAGTGTCAACCCCCTGATGAAAGGGGCACTGTCACGAACAAGCTTGTAGGTGGGAACGCTGCTTTCAGGCAAATAATTCCTTGGGCCTCTACCGGGTATTTTCCAACGTGCGTGAGAAAGCCAAAGCCAGCTTCACCGCTAGACGTGCACGAAGGCGTATACAACTCTAAACAGTCCACCGGCATCTATCACCCATGAGCAGTCCTTCAGCAAACATTCATCAGGACCCACCATCAGTCAGCTGCCCAGCCAGGAAAGCCGGCCTTTGCAACTGGCGCTCGGCGCTTCTGATGGTAGCTCCGCCCATGCATCCTTTGGAGCTATGGTGTGGGACTGAGTCTTAAGTGGCATCTTAAACTGCATGCCCCAATGTCACAGAAGAATAGGACGACTATATGCTCTTGGGACATTTGCCAGTGGCGGCCACGTTTACTGTGAGCTTTTAGCATGGACTTTGAAAGGGCACACGTTTCGGCAGCTCCTTCCACATCGTGTGACTCAAGAGGCGGGCGAGTGCCACGACAGTCTTCGTTTGACCAAGCCATGCTTTTGCTTCATGATGCAACGTGTGAGGGTGTAGAACTTGCGCAACTCAAGATTTCGGCCAAGATGATTCTTGCACCGCTTTGATTGCTTATTGTGTTAACCACAATTTGTCCTTCTGGAGGTGTATGCTGGCCTACGCGTAATGTCTCATCAAGGCATCAGGGTCTTTTGCAAGCGGTCAAAAGCCAACTTTCCTGTAGGCATGTCCTGCCTCTGTATCAAGAGCTTGTTAAAAGCATTCTATCAACGAAGGCCAATTGCCCAGGACTCAGATCGTGCTCTAAACAGATATCAACAGATGAAAGTTTCAATGCTGTTTTATGCTGTGCAGAGGATGCTGGGCAGTTCCCTGCGGTTTCAATCCGCACTTTGATGCGGATTATTTCAGAATCGAAGTGGGGTCCAATTGGCTTTTTCCAGCAGGGGCATCCAGAAGGTTTGGCGATATGATTTGATTTGCGCCGAATCCTTTCCCCAGCCCTAAAAATGCCCCTCGCGAATGCCATGGTCATTTGGGCCCCACTTTGCAAGCCGTCGCTGCCTTCGTCAGCTGACTTGCAAGCTGGAAGGAATGAAAGCCGTTTTTGCATCTAGCGGACCCGTTTCAGGGTCCACCATTGGGTTATTTTCTACATTGTGGGCCCTTTGGCCATTTTCTTACAATGCATTTGAGCCATTGTACAAATGGGTACCCAAATGGCACCCTGTCTGTCTGACATGACAAGGGGTTGCAACTTGTTTTTTGGAGCGCGATCTTAATCATGGGCAACTATTATACGGTTTTGTGTTTAAGCATCACCCACAGCTGGTAAAAGGTGAAGGCTTGACTTTTGATTCCTGCGTACGGCTTCCATGATCCGGCTGGCTGTGTTCGTGACTGCCCGCGGTCGTCTGCGGTTTTAGAGGTGAGCCACTGGTGGAAAGCATTTGCAAGCTCCGGAGGGGTGCACGGACGTGTACCGCATAATCATGTCCAGCACGGAGGCAGCGAAAAGTATTCAGGAACCTCACTAAGTGGCATCCACGAAAGGTTAGCTCTTCTTGCTCTTGCAATCGGTACTGGCAGATTGAAAGACCGACCCAAGCACATCCTCAGAGTTTCTACTACTCGCATCTGTTTTCCGCCGGTGGCTGGGTCACTGCGCCTTCAAACTCGACACCCGTCGGCGCAGGGGCCCTGGATCGCCGGTTTCGCAGTTCCTGGGTCCCAGTCCGAGGTTTGCGGAGGGTTGGCACATTCACCCAGTGGTTGGCACATAGAGTTCCGACGTTCGGGCCTTTGAGGGCCCAAAACCTGCACCCTAGTTGATGTGTTGCCGAAGGTAAGTTTCACGGCCTCGACGCCGCTTCCGGATTTCATGAAGCTCCACGCGAGTGCAGGGAGAACAAGAAAGCAGCGTGTCCATGTTTGTTCGGGGGTTCGCGGGGTACTTGGCTTCTCAAGCGCGTGCTGGACCTCTTTTGGAATTAATTATTGCCTCTCAAGGCTCCAAAGGAGAAACAAACAAGCTGATTGTGATCCTCTCCGGGAAGTGGTGCAAGGTGGGAGCTAGTTGGAGGCTACCCCTTGCGAGTTGGGAGTGACGCCTCGCGTTCATTTTTGTTGCTAGTCCTGCAGCCCTCGGATTGCTTTGAGACTCTGTAGTTGTACTGTTTTTGCTTTGAAGGTGCAAGGTTTAAGTTTGAAACACCCGGCCGTTGGACCAGCTGGTTCATGTGCCGGGCCATCTGATGATGAATTGGCAGATCGACTGACCTGGCTTTGGGCTGCCAGTGGGGCGTATAGAATACGATGAGGGGCATGTCCAGATGATGACGCCCAAGGTAGCAGTTGCTTTGCTTTTGCAGTAGGGTTGCTTTTTCATCGATCACTTGCAGAAGCCTCCCTAATTCACTGGCCAATATGTTCGACAGTGACAGATGAATGACATTTCGCCAGGGTCGCATGCGGAACTTTGGCTGATTTACAATGTTGTTGGTGCCTAGCCACCCCACCTTCACGAGACTTGGCTTGAGATTCAGAACTTCGTTTTTGTCCTCGACCACTTTTCTATATTCGGAAGGGATGTTTGCATGGGCTCAGAGGTTCTGAAACATGCATGGCTTAATTCTGGCTGTCCATTTGCTGCATTGGACTGAGCACGAAGCTTCGATTCAACGTCCATTTTCTTGAGATTGATCTGAGTCAGGTGATTGCTAGATAGCTTTACTCAGAGGAGCATGTTGAGTGTACCATGCCTTGGAAAATAGCAGCCAAGTTGTTTAGCATCCCTTCCTCCTTTCCCCGTTTCCTGAAGTCGTCAGCCCCAAGAGGAAATCCCTTTACCAGAGCCACTTTGCCACTGGAACAACGTAGCATCCTTCACTCATGCACGGCCCGGACTGTTTGCGTCAGCGTAGCCTTGAAGGGTTGGTTTGACTTATCCATATGGTGCTCACAGCGCGGCAAGATGATGAAGTCCGTGCCAATTTGTAGAATTTAGCCTTTCCTATAAGACAACAGGAGCCAATCCTGAGCATCTTGAAAGGACGCTAATCTCATCCTGCATTCATCCTTGGGTCAATTTTAGCAAATTCCCGAACTGGTCCCATTCAAAAACAACAACCTGCTGAGCAAACCAGCAGTGCTCAACATGGAAGCACTCCCAGCCCATTCCAAACCTACCTGAAAGCCCATCATTCTAAACCAAGTAAAGCAGGCCTAGCAGGCGCAAGACAGCCTTGACCCCCCCCGGCCCCCATTCGCCCAAGCCGATTCGAAGCGTGACACGTGGGTCAAGCAGACGACCAAACCCCAAGCCGACCCAGGCCAAACCTGATCATAGCCCTGCCCTCCAAAAAAACAACTTTTCGAGCCCTTCCATCAACCTATCCCAAACCTATGCGAAGCCACCGGCTTCAGCTTCTTCAGCTGGGCACATCCAAAATTTGCCGCTGTGTTGCTTGATATGCCACTTTACCCAGCTGCAGGATGACAAGAAAAAAACACAAAAAGCAAAAACGCATGGATTTGACAGGGCAGCCAAGTTCTATGTTCCCCGTTTTGGACGGGTTGGTCGTCAGGATAAAGCTGCAGAGGCTATTGCATTCCGTACATCAAGGGGCCCTTGCTGGTTCACCGCACCAACTGCGATTCCTGTTGATGACCCGATTTGCCATTGGCCTCATTCGTACCCTGAAAAGGCACTTGTCCTGGATACCCAAAACGGGTACCGCTAAGAGTGAGGTCCTAATCCTTGGATTAGGCTCGCGAGACACCCACGCCCCCTGACTCCAGCGTGGCAGACCTGGCCCAGTTGCCCGGCCTGAGCTGCCCGGCTGATTTGTGGCCCAGCCACTGTCAAGTCGGGGTGCGGCTGCCTGTTTGCGTGGCTCAAAAATCAAGAGCTAGGGCAAAGCGCAGGTTGTGGTCTCCTGTCTCATCCACGGTGCCATTTTGAGTACCATTTTTGAGCCACCGCCATGTCAACCGAAGCCAACTCGGACTGACACGCCATTGGGTTTTTCGGCTTTGGCGCACGGTCCTGGGCCACCTGATCTGATCAAGGGCTTGTAATCCTAAGACCAGCACGTGCTGCAACGTTGGAGTTCGCCCAGTGGCCGGAGCTCGGGGAGCTCTGGGAGCTCGGGCTCCAACCCTAGAACCAAACGGCTCATGGAAAAGCAAGTGAGTCATATCCTAGACACAGGGTACAGCGTAGCCAGCAGCTTCCCGCTTCTGAAACCTGAGTGCTAGCACACGTGAAATGAGAGCTCCCCATATTCGTGGACCTGACCGCATGCATTTTGAAGCTTAGGAGCTTTGACTCGGACAGACTTGGCCTTTGGATTGGCTTCTGAAATCGCAGAGTTGATGCGGGCAATGTGAAATAGTACGTATATTCAAGACCTATATAGCAGTTTGGGCATGCGTTAGTTTGTTTTCAGCTCACGGTCACTGGAGGTATTGTGCAATCGAGCAAAGGCCCTCTGAAGGAGGGCATCGCTTATTGTTTCATGCTGGTTTCTGGTTCGCCGGTCGCTTTTTGGCAGTCACGGGCTTGGAAGTTCAGGTTTCATTTGCGCTGTACCTTCAGCAGTTGGGTGAGGTCTCCTGTTGAGAGCTGTTCTCTTGACAGAAGGCCCACCCAGCACTAGACTGGTGCAGACTTGTCTAACATGTTGTCAAGAATCTTTGTTTGCTGTTGCACTTCACCCACTTAAGCCTTGTTCCCGAAGGTGAATGTGAATTTGAACAACAGGCCCGGGGCTCACGGCCGCGAGCCCGTAGTTCCGGAAAGAGGCAGGCATGCCATGTTCGCCGGTGAATCTAAGGGCCCTGAGTTGGGCAATTGCTTGGTTTCATACTGCTAAGCAGTGCAAGGTGTTGCTGATTGCTCAGGGTTAGCCAGTATGGAGCCAGTATGGAGCCAGTATGGACAAAAGTCTCCCTGAGTTGGTTTGGATACGTGCCGCAACAAAGGGGATTGCCTTTTTGGCCGGGTTGGCAAAGGATCCACCGGGGCCCTTTGAACACGCCGAATTGCCTACATGCCAGATAAGCCAGCCCCAGCTTGGCAAAAGGATGCGACTGCTGGCAATTGGCAAGCTTGCCGCGGCGGCAAGTCCCATCGAGTTGCTCAATGGCACCCATCCCTCTTCTTCCCTAAATTCAATCATATCCTTCATTTGTACGTGGGTCCTCCTCCCTGGTCGGCAGGGCGACTGTAGTAATAGGCAGGGCCCAACGTCAGCGGGTTTTGGGCGCGCTCTATACGCCAAATAGTAGCCTGTGTTTGCCTTTGGCCACCTGGCCAATTGTGGGAGGCTGCTGAAACAGAGCCATGGGTTGTTTCGGGAGTCTTAGGTTTTTTTTTTTTTTGGGTTCAATCGATCAAGCACGATGTTAGTATTTAAGATTAGTTATTTGAGGTGCAAGCAGGTATCCAGTGGGTGCAGGACCAGCATGGTAGTAGGTGCAGGACCTACATGAGAAGCAAAGGCCCAGCAAGATGGGCATGAATCACTAAGTGCAACAGTTGCTTCAGCGCAGCTTTTGTATTTGATTGATGCCAGAAGGGGTGCCGCAAGGGGAACTGCCGCAAAATCGGTACAACTTGGGGCTCACTCAAACCTTGCTGAAGTCGCTTGTCTAACGTACTGTTGCACATCCATCCTCGATAGATTATTCCAGCCTCAAACAAGAGATGTGGACCACATTTCGGAAGGAACATGCAATGTATGCATTATGCATTCAGACCAGTCTTCCTGTTTGGGCAAGCTGTTTCTGTTTTTGCTTTGAGGCCGGGGGTGACAAAGACTGAATAAGACATGGCCCCTAACACCCTTTTCAATTGTATGTCATGTGTGTGTGTGTCTATTGTGTGGGGCCTTTTTTTTGCCAAAAGGCCAGCATGCACACAGGAGGGGCAGTCGGCAGACCGCAAGCTGTCGCTTTGGATTGCTTGGAAGCACAAGCCTTTTCGCTTCCCGAGCACGGGCTTGCAGCCCCCTCAGCAGAACGCCTGCTTGGCTTCAGGCGTGACCTGAGGCAATCCTACTTTGTACCTGATTATTGCAACGAATGCGGGATGCGAAGCCCTCAAAACCCCAGACTGGAGGGGAGAGGCCGATCTGTTTCGGTGCAAGCGCAAGGCGATTGCGACGCCTGATGTGTCAACATGTTTGCAACACGAGTGGGTTGGGATGTTGCGGCGCACAAGTCCAACTTTTTTTTTGCCGTGGCAGGGAGCGACTACATTCGACTGTGCAGAGATGCATAGCACAACAACACAAGGGGAGCGGAGAACCGATCTGTTCATTTGTTTGCCCCAGGTTTGCCAAGCTGGTCTCAAAACGTTGAGTTTTGACTTCTAGGTCCTTTGGACAAAAATTCAAAGGGATGATCATTGGAGCTCTCAGGGTTTTCGGCCCTTGCCTTGATGCAACGCCCTGACCTGGGCCTATGGATCCCGTGCCGGAGCGTCTTGGCGCGGGTTGGGCTTCGCGGGGGCGCGGCTGGCGTGAGGGTCTCGACACCTGAGCTACTGGTTTTGGACTTGGCAAGGAAGCAACCGTGGACCAAGTTCAACCCGACCCGGCAGTTCGGCAGGCAGACAAGGTCCCATGGGCCATGCAGAAAGTTCCCAGACGCTAAGCAATGTGCGGAAACGGCTTTCCCATACACTTATCCGTTGTGGGTGCAAGGAAATTAAATACACGTGGGGGGGTGGGGGTGGAATCACAGAATGGTGGTGCTTGTTCTTGGCGGTCTCCCTGTCGTATAGCAGCGAACATTCTGTGAGCGAGACAGGGCTTCCCGTCGCACTCAAAGGCACACTCAACTACTGAGGAGCTTCTTCCAACGCAAGCAGGGGTTTAGTTAGTTATACTCAGGGTGGGATCAAGCGGTTATCCCCAGGCCCTGCCCTGGCTCAGGCTTTAGGGGGCCCACAAAAAACAGACCAGGTATCCATCCATCCGTGCCATCCCCTTTGTCCAACCAACCACTGGACTTGGACCATCGAAAAAAAAAAAAAAAAAAAAAAAAAAAAAAAAAAAAAAAAAAAAAAAAAAAAAAAAAAAAAAAAAAAAAAAAAAAAAAAAAAAAAAAAAAAAACCAAGGAAAAAAAAAAACCTGGTCAGCTGAGTCAGCCACGCGATTGGTTGGGTCCTTGTCAGAATTAGGGCTTTTTGGGATCCCCCTTTTTGCTCGCCGCAAACCAGGTACATGTTGACTGGGCTCTAAGTGGCCCACAATTGTTTACAATTGTCCCAAGAGGGAGCCAAAAGGGATGGGCTGTTAGCTTTTCCAGACCCCATAAAATGGTTGACTCGCCCCCCGAGTTCGTGGACTTGATGCTTACCGGGAAGACACTCGTTCGTGAGTCACTCCACGCATCTCAGGTTCCAAGCGGAGCTTTGCGCGGCTGCGGGCAACAAGCTGGGGGAGTGCCCCCTGTGGGACGACGCGCGCCGGGGGCCCGAAGGCCCGAAACGAAACGAGGCCCGAAGCCCAACGCGGCAGGGGAAAGCTCTGTGATTCCCCATGTGTTTGCCACGGCCGGCCTTCGTGGTTTCCCTGTTTGTCCACAAACCCCTAAAAGACGTGTCGTCCACTTCCCCTCAATGAGGAACACTTGCATCAACATCTTAGCCTCCTGATGCACCTCAAGTGCAAGCATTTTTCAGTTGCCATTCAAGCAGCATCAAGCAGCACAATCTCTGGCACGTGTTCTCCAATGTGCATATCGGCATATTGTTTAACCAACCGGCTTTGGCTGCCTGAAAAACTTGCTGCGTGTACTTGCGCTGGTGGCAATTGCTTGAGGCCAGTTGATTTGCTGGATCGACATCCAGGGCAAGCGCCTGTTGCAGCACGACCCCTTGGGGCCGCCGGGGAACAGCAGGCGATTCTGGGGCGTGTGATTTGGGTCTTTGGATGTTTCCGGCGGCTCTTCTTCAGCAAGTGGTGAGACAGTTGGTTGAGCTGGCCTGCGGCAAGCTTCTGGTCAGCCACCTTTAGACAACAATGTGAGATCAACACGTTCCAGATCGTGTTCGCCAACTTTGGGCTTTAGCGTGCCCGAGCACGGGTCATGCTTGTTTGAACCAAGTCGTCAGGGAACGAAGCAGCTTGATTTGTTCCCTTGCAGTTGATGCCAACAATAAGGTTTCCCCCCAAACCCGCATTTGTTTGCTCTTGCGCGGGGCGTCGGGCTCACACGTGGAAGTCTACCTTCAGTCAGACCGTTGCATTGAGAGGCGCGTTCGCCCTAGTTACTTGGGCTTTTGCCCCAGAAAGAGCCCAGCCATGAACACACAGCTTGGTTTGGCAGAAGTGCTGACAGGCGGTTGCCCCCCTTGACAGGAGGGCAACCACCTTTACCAGCACTGGCCCTGCTCCCGCTCCCACGCCAGGAGCTTCGATTTGCCAAAGCGGCCGGGCTCTTTTTGCCTCACCGAAGCAGGTGACTACCTTCTGGCCCTGGAGGCCAGAAGCCGTTGCTTGCCCCGCATAGGTCCCCGATGCATATTTGCAGGGGGCCCTGTGAGTTGCTTCTGGCAACTTCCATGTGGTTTTCAGGATGATTGAACAAACATTTCCGATGTGTATGCATGAATTGCACACAAGGGCCGGCTGCATGTGTAGCGCGGTCGGACAAAGTAAAAGGACTGTGCTCGCATAAAGGCATGATACCTACGGGCAAATGTGACAAACTCATTGTGTATCAAGTAGCCTCAGTATGCCAAACATGTTTGGGTGCAATTGCCATAGAAGGGACGTGGCACACGTACTTTCCAAACCTCTATGGCGAGCATGAGCTGCGCGGTTGAATCTCTGTGGGCATGGTAGAGGGCCAGAGGGTACAAAACAATTGTTTGGTTGCTGCGCATCCTGTGTCTTGCCAATGGTGAGTTGGCTAGCGACTCATTTGGGCTGCTTGAAGTGACATGACCTTGAGAGCGCGCACGCACACACACATCCCAGGTGTTTGGCCCTGCCACAGTCGCTCCCGGTCAGGCTTTCACAAGGGGTATGCTGTGAAGGGACTGTTGAAGAGATCTTCCTGTTTTGATTTCTGAAGGACGTCACGGGGGAATGGCGTTTTGCTCATTTTGGCCACTCCCTGTTCCCACCTTGGATGAATACATGCATGTGCTTTGGCTGATCGTGAATGTGGACTGACGTTCCGTGTCCGAAGCGCTGGAGAACATGCGGCCGTCGGAGCGAGAACTTGTCTTGCAAGCTTCTGCTCAGAGCCACGCTCCGTGGGTTGGGACACTTGAGTTGCCAAAGCCATGCATGCCAGGATGGATTTTGCTTCTTCGATCCATCTACTGGCGAGCTGCGGCCTATTTTGCCAGACCAGGAGGGAGCATTTGCGAGCTATGCCGATGCCAGCAGACACAAGACGGTCGGCACGGGGTCCGCCGTTGCAAGGTTTTGGCATTCGTTTGACCTGAGGCTTGCCTGCGTCTGGCTTCGGCAAGCATCGCACACTTTCGACGGAGGTGAGCATTGAAGCATTACCAATTTGCAGTCAGGAAGGAAGGTTGCCGTGTGTCGATATATGGGGCGAATCGAATCCCTCAAATAGTTGGCAAAGACTCGAAACATGGAATGTGCGCAGATCTCTTGGTTGGGTTCCTTGAAGGGGTGTGGTTGAATTTTTGAGGGTGCCCTGTTTGGTCCCTGTTTGGCAAAACCCAGGTTGTGTCTCCCCTTTAAGTATCACCCTACTCAAAGGAAACTGGTTCTAAATGGCCCACAAGGTGATTTACTGGGTCTTGCAACATCCTGGAGCCGCTCAAAATCCAAAACCCGTTTCCTGGATTTGGGCGTCCTTAAAATGTTATGGTGTTTGCCCGAGTCAAGTTGGTGCCTGATTTGAAAGACAACCACTTGGTCGAAGATCCAAGTTGCATTTTCTTAAGACTCTTTTGTTATTTCAAGTATTTCCCCTCGTTGGTTTCAAATGAAAAATCTATCACTGGACATATGTAGTTATCTTTGTCCACCACCAAAATCCAAATTCCACCAAAAACCGCAGGTTCTAGTCCTTCTTTCCATTTACACGGGTATTTACCAGGGCTTCTTTTCCGCGTTGTTCCCTATGTTTGACCCCCACCCCCCCCCCCCCGCCTCGTCTGAACGCCGCACCCGCCCGCAGGACTGGCGGGTGCCGCCGTCGACGCGGCTGAACGACGGCCGTGTGGACTGCGGGGGCCGCTTCGTGGCCGCGGGCTGCGTGGAGAAGGGCGAGGAGCCCAGGGCCCAGGTCTACCGCGCCTCCGCACGCATGCGACGGGTGCGGTTGGTTTGTGGTGGGTCCGGTAGGTCCGGCGGGGTGGGGGTGCGTCCGTGGTGGATCCTGTGGGGTGGGGTGAGCGTTCGTTTGCTTCTGCCAGTTGCGCTGAAATGAGTGTGTGGTTTTTAAAGGGAAGATGTGTTATTCACAGGGAATATGTTATTTAAAGGGAACATGTGGCGTTTAAAGGGAATATTTTGTGTTTAAGGGGGGGTATGTGGTTTCATTTTGTTGTTTTTTTTCCCTGTTGGTTTTAAAGTGGGAATCTATCACTACTGGAAAGAGTTGGATTTGTTTGAGGGGGTGAAAAAGCAAATATATTTTCCCACGACAATGCGCTCACTCCCACTGAGTTCCTGCAAACTTTATCCTTTTTGGGAAGAGCAAATTCGAGCGGAGAGCGACCAAAAGTTCTCTCTGCTTCAGGCCAATCCACTCAATTGAGTCCAGCTGCGGGAGGGAAGCCTGGCGAAGAGATTGGGATCCCTCGTTAGGGTTGAGCAATGGCCAAGGGCGGGTGGACCTTGTTCATGTCGTTGTCCGTTTCGGAAAGAAAATACAAGCTTGCCCTTGTACCACGTTGCAATTGGTCCACCTGGTTGATTGCAAAGTAAGTGGAAAGCACTGGCGTGGAAACTTTAAAGGGTAACAGCAGGGACGAGTTCTCAGCATCCTGTCAAGGCTGGCTTGAATCAAGGCTGATTTAAGCAAGGTTGAACCCTTGGTCAAAATCTAGCATTCCATTCCGGGTTGTTTTTCGTGAACAGCTCACACCTCTTATGGACCACATGTTCAACGTATGTCAACCCCAAGGGGGTTTCACCAAAAATTAGAAACCCAGATCTACGACGATCACCTTGCCTGTGCCATACCCGAGGCCTCAATAGCGACTTGTCTGTCGAGACACTTCTTGACAACGACCCTCGCCTTGATGAGCCCATGCAGCGGTGGTTGATCGCTGTGCCATTCAGTCATATATTGTGGTACAAGGGAACCTTTTTGTGGTGTCATACGTTTACGTGCTTACACTGACTGCATGTGTGCCTGCGCATATGTGTGCGTTTTGTGAGTTGGCCACGCCCGGCCCTCTGATCGTTTGATATCCATGTTGGCCAATGTGTTGTCATGTTTTGTCATTGTTAGCCTTTGGCTTTCAGGTCTTCTGGACACACACTGGTATGTGGGCCTGTTGTTTGGATCTGATGGTTTTGAAAGGACCCAGGGGCACCCGCTTGTCGGAACGCAGACGTGAGGGTCTCAGGGTCCTGTTTGCATGTTGCACTGTTGCCCCTGGCCAATCGCAAAGTTGTAGCCCCTGAAGTTGGGCATTCGTGAAGCACAACCTGATTTCGACCTTTCCAGTGGGGCACTTTTTGAAAACCCAGGTTCCCGGCGTGAATCCGAGGTGCGCTGCGGCAACTCGATTTGCTCCCTGGCCCAGTGGATTTTGGGATGGCCATGTCTCATTGCAAGACTGGAGTTTTGAACGAGGATCTTGCATGCCTCACATTTTTGGTACCTTCCACTACTCCATTGACACAGTTTTACGTGCAGACCCCATGTCCAGCCAGAAGCGAGGGCTCGTGCACTGACATTCCTATCTCACCAACCTCGGAGCAGTCTCCTGCCTGGAAGGGACACATGCTCAAACTTCCAATTGTTGCTAAAACTCCAATCGCTGTATTCCTTATCAGGAGGAGGTCTCAGACACACGGGACTGCATTCGACCGAGCCAGTATTCCATGCTTGTATTGCCTGGCACGAGCCCGTTTGCACGGAAACAGCCATATTCTCTCGCGAACAATATATACTTCAGGCGGCAAGGAACTTGACAAGTGGCTAGTAACTCTTGCTAGAAGCCACTTGCTGCCATTTTTAAGTCTCCTAAGTGGGTCATAGCCAATAGCCAGGGTGACTGATAACTTTCGAAGTGCCCTGCCTGTTTCCCCTATTTTTGTTTGTCGCCGCGGCTGAGGCTTCAGCGAAGAGCGCGGCATGTTCTTCGCGGATCCAGCCCTGCGCGTGGAGGATGCTGGCACAGCGCGGCACCTCAGCTCTTGCTTTGGATGGGGCCGCTTGCTGCTCCTTGCTTGGCGGACGCAAACATATATATATATATATATACACGAGCACACACCCACACACACATGTATATATATATATAGGAGCAACGTTTCGGGACCTCCAAAAATCGTGGCAGGGCCAGCATTTCAACATATTCGGGCAGCGGCAGGCCTCAACTCCTCGAGATCCGTTTTATGAAACGGAATGCAACAAGTTAAAATTCCCAATGTGTTCCTTGTTCCTGGGAACCCCGAAGTGGACACTTTGCAATGACCTCATTCAGAAAATGTAGCCCTCGCCAGCAAATGGAGCAGTTGCAAGCAGCCGCTGCCATTGTTTTTTTTATACACGCTTCAGGCAGGTCCAAAGAGCCACTGGCATTGGTTCACATCAAATGCAGCTGATCCAGCTGCAGGGCTGTTCGGTATGCAGCATGGCACTGGAGGACATGCGCCAAGCCTGCTATGCGGGCCAAGGAAGCTGCAGCCTGAGTCTGCCACGTTGTCACAATGTCAGTCATCTTCTGCCCAGATTCCTGAGCTTTTCTGCTGGTGGCCAAACTGTGATTCACAAGCTTGGTTGCCGCCTGCCAGTGTAAAATGTTCCTTATACTCTCTGGCAATGTTGCCCTTGCCAGCATTTTGCTCCAGAAACTTGCGCGTCCGAGCAGACAGCTTCTTCTTGTCCAGCTTGCTGCGGTGTTTATACTTTTTCCCATGTGATACGCCCTTCAGAAGCGCACAGCTTTTGGCAGCGTGCTTCCAGGCCGGGGCCCCATCAGCTGCAAGCACCGCGTCCTGCGGCACATGCTCCTCGACATGATGCGTGACCTCCTCCTTGGTCTCCGGCCGGCTCCCGCCACTGCTGGTGCTTGGCCGATGGGCGGCGGTCTTCCACAGCTTACCTTTGCGGCTCTTGAACAGCAGAGTCCGCCCCATGTGAACGCGCGTTCCGGGTGCCTTTCGAGAGCCAAAGCAGGAGCTGTCAACCTCATACTCCACGAAAGCCAGAGCAATCTTGTGATCGCGAAGCGCAAAAGAGTTTAATTTGTCCCCGCTCTTTCTGACCAAGTGACAAGCAGAACCGCTGGCCAATAGTGAAGGCAGTCTTCACAAAGAAACTGAAATCAGGCTGATCCATCCCGTGAGTGCGAAAGAGGTGTTCTGCAGGCGAGCCCTGGTCTTGCACGCGCGACCACTGCGGCACCGCCATCGGGAGCAAGGTGCTTGACAGCCCCAGCAATGGAAAGCGGTCTTGTCATCGGCTCGCCTCAACACACCATGCTCCAACAAGAAGTTGCATCAGCTTGAGGACATCTTCAAAGGCTGGCATTTCCACTCATTAGCTTTGGCCGCGGCAGCGTTGCCTTTTCCTCAACTTGTGCCTGACCCGAAATTGTCTACGTTGCACAAGCTTCTTGGCATACTGCCCCCTAGTGGTTTGAGCAGGCTTCTCGGCGATCTGGCCCTTGGTGTTCTTGGCGGTTCGAGGAGGCTTCTTGGAGAGCCGCCCCTTGCTGCCTGACCATGTGTTCGTAAAGGTCCAAGGGCGAAGGGGCTGTGGCTCTTGCGGGATGCGGAACGCGACCCACCGCATCCGCTGGGGCCTGAGTGCGTCGTAGATCCTGCCTAGACTCTGTTGACCCCAAACTCTGTTGACCCTAAATAAAACAAACCCTTAATCCCTAAACTCAGTTGACCCTAAGCCAAAACCTTAATCCCTAAACTCAGCTGGCCCTAACCCAAACCTGAATCCCTAAACTCAGCTGACCCTACACCAAAACCTCAATCCCTAAACTCAGTTGACCCTAAACCAAAACCTTAAACCCTAAACTCAGTTGACCCCCAACCAAAACCTTAAACCCTAAACTCAGTTGAACCAAAACCTTAAACCCAAAACTCAGTTGACCCTAACCGTGCCTATTGACACTTGCTGGGTGCTGCCACACGCTCGTTTGCTCCAGATGCCTCAAGGAGCGACCGAGGCGAGGCTCGCGCAAGTTGGCGGGCAGAAAGTGGTAGGTCGCTCCAGCCTAACATCCTGGAGCCTAGACAAAACCTGAAGCAATTGTCAACGTGGCTGACATGCAGGCTCCAAGATAGGTGTGGGCGAACGGCCCTAGATATACATATAACGGCCCTAGATATACATATATGTGTTTGCTTATGTTTTTTTAAAGAAGACCCCAAGCAAACCAGTTATCGATTTTTGTGTGATTCCCAGAACCTGAACCGGGTTTGTTTGTTTTGTTTGTGATTCAATCCCAGCTTTGTGCTTCCGAGCCCGAGCTGTTGTTTTGCGGTGGACACTTGGACTAAACAGGTGACCAAGGTGAAGATGTAGGCAAGTCTTGGAGCTCAACGGAGCTTGTGTTGAGTTGAAATAAGCCCGGGCTTACGGCTCCTTCTTCGCAAGAGCCAACGCCTGCGTTGAAGTTCCTGTAGAGCAAAGCATGAAGCCCCTTGCTCGCACTATTGATTCTGTGGGTCTACACAGCGTGACAGATGGTTGGCTGTAGGCTTCCCTAGAAACCAACCCCTGTTTCACTGGGACCTTGGTGCTTTTCTGGGGTGGGCGTTCTCTCAAAATTAGCATTTGGTTCCCTCCGTGTCCTGTTTGTCATGAACGCTGGGCCGAGTCCTACAAGCAAACATGGGAGTCTCTCAGGAGGAAAGTACTCTTCCAAGGGACGCCTTTTCGCTTTCTTGCTTGTGGATGGGACAGCAATAGGAGGAACCGGCGTCCTTTAAATCAGGTGCCCTTACTGCTGGTTTGTTGAACAAGTTGTTGTCGTTTGCGCACTCTCCATTTTGCACTTGGTTGGTGGCCTGGGAATGCTTGCTCCTGCTTTTTATGTAGTAAGGTCGGGAGTTAGGGGCCAACTGGAAGGGGGGAAGGGGGGTGACCCCGGGAATGGTCATTTATGGAGCCTAGGGGGACACCCCCTCCCCCTTGAGGAGGATCCCCCAAACAAGATTGCAGGGTCTTCAACAAACGTTTTTTCCGCGTGCGAGGGAAGGCCCAAACATTTTGCTCACCCATCCGGCAAAACATTTTAGGTTGGCGAGGCAGGTGGAATTCGCAGGTTGCTCGCGCTTCGGCCCACTTGAATTCACTGGAGGCCAGCAGCATTTGGCAGTTTCCGGACTATGCCACCACAGGACACGGCCCTATCGGCATGCTGGTTTGTATGAAGGCTTTTGCAGAAGCCAGAGTCCGAGAGAGCGGCCCCAAAACCGAAGACGAACCGCAGACTCTAATTCATTGGGCATTGTTGAAACTAAAAGGTGGACATCGACGGCATTCTAATGACTGTGAGAAAGAAATAGCATTCTCACTGGGTTCCGTTTATTTCTACCAGCGCTGTTTTCCGAGTGAGCGTGTGTGTTACCCGCAAAGCGCTTTAATGGTACACGAGTTATACGAGGGTTGCCGGCCTGGACGCTTGCGGAAAATCCCCAGGACGTTGCGCGTGTCCGCAGCTCTTCGTGGATGCTGAGAACCGGCCCGACGGCTCGGTGCTGGATGCGGAGGGCTGCCTCTGGAACGCGGAGTTTGGGGCTGGCAGACGCTGAAAGCCGCAAAGAAGTTGCCGCGTTTCAAGCGTTTCAAGCGCTTTCCGTGCTAGAAGGCATTGCAACGACCAAGGCTTTGCCAATCCTTGCCCTTGAATCTTAGGAACCGCTTCATGACCTCTTCATTTGGTCTCTTTGAGTTCCGGCATCTCTATGTTTGTTTAGGTGTGTTTTAGATTCTTTTGGCTGCTGTTCAGATATGTTTGGTCTTGTTTAGAGTTTTCTACATCCCCAAGGGTTGCTAGGATTGTTTCTGAGAGGATAAGAGTCTTCAAGGCCTCTCGTAACTGTCACTGCCCAAATCCGCGGATTTGTTTGGGCCATTGGTCAGTCTAATAGTTAGTTGCATCTTGAGAAGCCTTTGGTGCAACAATATGATGCCCATGAAGGGAATCACATGAGAATCAAGGGAGGTGCTATATTGTTGTTTTTTGTTTTTAAGTTGCAACTTTTGAGCTGTAGATGGCGTTTCCGGCAACAAGGAATATCAGACAACCGCCAAATGTCTAGCACGCTTGTTTTAGGCAGCAAAGATTTATCAACCAACGAGGGTACTACATTGGTCCTATGATAGACGAGGGTTGGTTGCTGCATCTTTGGTCGTGCCAACCGTGACCGATGTTTGGTTGCCATGTTCAGGATGTAAGCATTATTACCTCCAGCAAACATAGCACGTCGTCAGAAAAACTAATTTCTATGCTCGTTTTGGTGTGGGTGAGAGAGCTTCTTTTTCTCCCGGCCTTTCAAGGAGTCGTCCGCTACCGACCGGATGGCTCGGTGAGCATGGTGGTGCGAGTCCCAGTACGCTTCACCACGTGTGCCGCTTTTGGCGGCAAGGACCGGCGCTTGTGCCATTGATTCGGAGAAAAAAGGAAAAAACACGGATTTGTATGGTTGCACTTTGTTCCAGCATGCCTCCAATTCTTCCAGGTTTGTCAGGCGAGCTAGATATCCTTTCGGGCTTGAAATTGAGCTGAGACGCAAGCGACAGCGACAGTTTGTCGAATGAGCATAGCAAATCTGACAGACGCCACAAGCAACTTCAACAACAAGCAGCAACAAGGGCTGCCGACAAACTACCTCAGAAAAGGTTGGCCCCAGCGCCTTGAAGGACATGCAGACCATGTACATCACTGACGCCTCAGTGCCGACCTTGGACGATCAAAGGGCCAGCAGCTAGAAATGGCACGCCGATTGGAGCACGTGCTTTCATGCATGAAACTCTATTCTTACCTTTTGCTGGGTCGCTGTTGGACGTCCACTGCACGCACGCCTTGCGAATGCAAGGCCAAAGGGAGTGGTTGACTGGATCCAAATTTCTGCCGTGGCCAATCAAACACATGTTCGCATTTGTTTTCGCTTCGGTATTCCGTTGTGACCAAAACTCAGGCAGGAAACTTGAGCACAGGTGGCTGCGTCTACGTGGCCAGGTTGACCAATGCACTGGTAGCGCTTATTGCCGTTTTTGGGGTTAGAGTCCCCCAAATGGCAAGTTTCCCTTCATGGTTGCAGATAGATGGGAGGACTGTGCCCCCCTCAGCTAGGTACACTGCGTGAGCCCTTGAATCTTATGAAGAATAATGACCAGCCGGAACTGAGGGGAAACTGTGGTTCGCCGTGAAAGTTGAAAGCAATCATTGGCGGTTTAGCACGGCCTGCCTGAAAAGGGCCTCCATCACGGGCATGGACCTCGCTCTTCAGTTGATTTCTCAGCGCGGGAGGTTCCGAAACAACACCTAGTTCGTACCGGGCCCAAAAGCTGAGGTTTTTGCTTACCAGCGCACCTCGGACGCAGGTCTGTGGTTGTGCAAGGGGGGGGTTACCGGGTTGGTGCGCCCAAAAAAATCATTTGATTGTGAGATGAGGTGCAGGATTTATTGTGGGAGCAGAATGCGTGCCATGCATGGCCGGCTTTGTCCTCACGGACCTGTCTGCTCCATTGAGGGGTTTCTGATTACAAGCAAATGATGATCGTGTCAGGATTCCTCAGCTTTTGGATGACCCCCCAAAAGCTATCCTTCAAGGCTCTTGCATTCGGTGCTTTTGTTCTTATGATGGGCGTGCCTTTTTGCCTCCACGGTTGACCGTGCAGACATGGCAAAGAACAGCCAGTTCCCTAGAAAGAGACCGACATGCAACCAATTCCTTGCTGGCTGCAACATGGTTCCACGTTTCCACGGCTTGCTTTTTTGCCCTCACGGCAGCATCTACCAAAGTGCAAGTCCCGACTTTCACGTCGTGTCGCGCCATGGCACTCATGTTCGTGTAGCAAGTTGCCCAGACGTCCACATTTAGAGCTTGCGCTTTCTCAGCGTGTCCACTTCCGTTGTGATCTCAAAAAGGTACATGCCTGAAATCCCGCATGGCCCGAAGTCACCGTCTTTTTGTAGAAGCGTCGGACAAGGGGCCCCTTCCTGGGTCACACGCTTGCGTCGAGGTATGTCCAAGAAGCGCCGCGAGGAGCTTCCGGAAGGCACAGGGAAGGAGAGCCACCGAGAGATGTGGATCAAGTCCTAGTCATGAGTCATGGCAGCCCTTTTTTTTTTGGCCTTAGCCAAATTTTCGAAGCAAATGTTGTTTCCAGATTCAAAAGGTCAGATGACAGATGGTAAGACCGTTTGCTCAGGGGGAAAGAGCAACCCAGATGGATAGGGAGGGGGTCCGGATCCATTTAGGGGGGCCGTTTTCATTCAATTCCCAGTGGGTGAAGGAGACAAACGAGCCAAGTAACCCTTTGATAATGTTGAGGGGTCTAGCAATGCTCCTGGCTTTGCGACATGTGCTTAGGCATCTCTGCAGTAATTTTGTTGAAGCAAGCCTTTGAAGCTTGTGCCGTGTATATCCTTGTGCGCGCCGCCTTCTTGGGTCGCTTATCACGCTTGTTTCTTCTTGAAATTTCAGCCATTCGCTCCAAGCCAGTTTGGGAGTGCTGGGTTGTCTGGGATTGTCTGGGTCTCGGTTGTGGCATGTCTCTGCGGATAACCTACCGTATTTTACTTCGCGTCGGTAGCAAGGCGGTTGGGCCCTGCCTGAGACTGGACAGGCTCCAAGCCAGTTGTTTACTTTGGCTGGGTCACAGCAGGTTGCATGCAGCACTCGGGAACCCAGGGTTGATTTCAAAGTCATCGCAGCTAAGAATGCACAGATTCATGGCTGCCCGGCACTTCCCGGCCAAAGGTTGCACCGTTCATCGCCCCCTCACGTTTCGCTCGCACTCGCTGCTTTTTCTCACTGGTGATCAAGAGTTTAGCGTGCCAACGTTCCTGCGTTCACTCAAGAGCTGTTGTAACATACTGACCTTTCCAGATTCTTTAGCCCTCCCCCTTGTCCCACGCGGTCACTTTTGCTGAGCGATGGGACTTCGGTAAGTTGTCGCCGGCTTGCGGCTTAAACCCAACCCATACGTCTCCTTTGTAGGTTAGTTTGATTAGAAAAAATGGCACTGGCTATCAGATGGGCTTTATTTCATTTGCCAGGGCCATCCATTTTACCCCCAGGACCCTTATGCTTATATAACCCCTTGCTTGTTCAGAATGCAACCCGACGGTCCTTTTTCTGCCGAGGCTATGCAGGTGGTCTTTTCAGCGTGCGTCTGCCAGTGCGCGGCTTGCCTGACGCACAGATGCAATCAGGTGGAAACCCCTGGGGCAAGATAGGATATATGTTTTTCATCTATAGTGACTGGTTGGAGTTTGGAGTTTGCTGCTTGTTTTCTTCACTTCGTCAAAGCCCGCCACACTGGTGGATCTATGCAGCTGACTGTCTCTAAATCCGCACACGGTCGAACTAGCCACTAGCCTACACTTGCACGGCATTCTGTAGCACCCCTCCTCTTCAACTACCGCACGTGGGGAGTGCTGGGAGTGCATGCAGGATGACAATCATTTCAGCTGATCTTTCGCAGGCTCGTTTGGTTCGCGCCTGTGATCGTACACAAGCACTTGCCAAGTCACCAACCAGGGCCTGGTGGAGAGTGGGAATGTAGTCCTAAGGTCCCAGGCCATTTGAGACTTGAGGCTGACATTTTTTGTGGTTTTGGCTATCCTGGCATTGGGCTGAATGTTAGTGCTTGGGGTGGGGGCTTGTTTGGAAGTCTGGAGTTGCAGCAATCTCACCGTTAAGGTGAAGGTGCGAGCTTGAGTTCCTTCAACCCCATCCAATGAACACAATATTTTCTCCGACGTGTCCAGATTTCGACCCCATCCGACGTGTCCTTCAACACTACAAGTATCTACAAGTGCTCTTTCCACCATTGGGCACATTAGTTCAGCTTTTAGCCTTTGTAGCCTTGCTCTGTATTGGAAGGTTCTTCGCACAAGCTGCCCTGACCCAATACTGATTCAGAGCCACAGCAAGGGGAGACATGGGAGGATCTTGGTCCTCAATGGTCCTTACTGGGCCCCAATAGTCACGAATAGTCACTGGCGATGGCTCTGAATCAGTATATGACTTGAGTCCTTCAGCCAAGGAGCGGAAGTTTGCCGGCAGTGCCCGCCCTCCCCTTTGGAGCCAGCCATCGGAAAAGGATGTGGTGCCGCGTGCGTGGGGCGGAGCTGTTCGAGCAGCAAGCCGAAAGATCCCCCACTGAGGAAATGCGCACGGCATAGTAGTCCCATTGGTTGCCCTGTTGCAGTTTTGCCTTTGGCACTCGTATCAATGTAAGATCCTGTGACTGACATTGACGCATCTACCATAAAAGGTCGATCAAGATGTCGTTCGAGTGTTCATGGGTCATGGTCCTAAAATCGTCCACCCATAGACTGCGTTGCATCTGAACATGATTGAACACATGTTCGAATCCTAGCCAAACATCAGAGTACCGCTGCGTTTTCAAGTCGAGCCATGGCATTTTGCAATGGGTCGGTTGCCTCCGAGCTGAGGCAGAGCTCCAGACGCAACTGGCAACGAGCGCCTGGCAAGCCTTGAGGCACGGGTGCCAGGGAAGCCGTCGCGTCAGTGGCTAGCAGTGACCTTGCTGAACCCCGCCCTTTGAAGATCGGCCTGGCAAACCTTGTGACACGTTGCCGCTGAGCCAAGAAGAAAATCCGTGGGTCGAACACACCTGGATTGCAAGAGAATGGATTTGAGGCCTGAGCCAAATACCGTAAGTTTCAAAGTTATTGCGGCCGATCGGGGAGCAACAGCCGAGTCAATGTGAGTGTACTGCCAGTAACGAACTCAGCCATGGGGCACCTCCTAAGTAGCTACCCACAAAACCCAGGCTGGGACGCCCGCAAAGTTCCCGACTTGTGGTGCAGCCAACTCTGTAGATAGGGCTCACCAGGTTGCCTGAGCCTTTCACTTGAAACCCTTAGGCTGAGGGTTTCACAGAGGCTCCCGGAAAAGCACTCAGGCCTGGCGGCGTGCCCGGCACCCAGACTCGGGCCAAGATGTCCCGCCCAACATGGCAGTAAAGCGGGCGAAGCTGGGGAGAAGTTTCAGCCCAAAAGCCCCAAAAGGGGACCCCTTCTGCAGATTGCATCAATGGGGCAGCTAGGGCGCTGGTTTCCCAGGACGGGTTGGAGAATGACATTGCATGCAATAGCGTGTGCTACCGCCCCAAACATCTTGGGGGGGGGGCAGATGTGTCGTCATGCTGTTTAGATGGCCGGGTGAATGAAGATTCACCGAGAATAGGGTTATGAGTATTTCAGGCAACCCCTCCCGCTTCAAGAGAGCACAGTGCAAAAGGTGCACTCTCTATGCGCTGCCACTGTCCTTCTTCTGCACTGTTGTTTGCATGCTCGATTCAGCGGTGCAGGAGGTGCTCAGTTGTCCGCACCCGACATTTGGACGTCTTGGTGTCCAATTGCAGGCCACGTTTTTTGCCATAGCCATGTTGTTCATAGCGACATCAGGGCCTGTGAGCAGCACCTGTTTACAGGCATGAAGGAATGTGAGCGCATGGGCCTTGCAGATTTCTGTGTTTGAGCTGGCGTGAGTGGTCTCGTTCGTCAGCAAGATTGAACTATGCCGATCCCAAGTGAGCGTTTGATACAATGTCCAGGTTCGGGCAGTTTCAGAGGCGTTTCATTGAAGGCTGGTCTATTCTACTTGCACCCTGAACCACATCGAGAACGAGTCAGCGCACAGCCCCAGTCTCGCTTGACACGGTCGACAAGCCTGGAAAGCTTGCGGTGTGGTTTTTTGGTTCGGCGATTTGCACATGCTAGCGCAATG